ATGTAAAAGTCAAAATCATGAAGTAGCTTCATTTTCTTGGTGATATTTATTCCTACAACATTTCAGTTTAAAACCATAATAATGATAGAAGAGAAGCATTTGAATTTAAAAGTTTTGTGCAGCCACAAAATTAGCTTAGTTAAGTAGGCAAGAAAAGAGGTGTTTGTGTTCTCTTGGCGACGATGTTTCCATCTCCTTCGGCAGAGTATGTCTGCAGATGGTCTAAACAAGGACATATGCAGACACAACATGAAATGTTTTTTTTAATCTGAAGAGAAAGACGTTCCCATTCCAAGAAAAACATTGAAAACTTCTATGTGTATTTATTACCAATTATGGTTCTCAACTTTTTGCCTTTTTTTACTTTTTAGCAAATCCTTAATTGTGGGACAAAGAAGCCAATCTAAGTACTTTTAAAAGAGCCAATAAGTGGATGAATATCAGCCTAGTTAATTATCTTATAATTTCTCTATCTAGTCCCTATGTCCTCATTTGAAGAAAACTTTGTTTATTGAATACATTGGAATTCACTATATAAATAAGGAAAAGGATCATTACAGGGGTAATAATTTTTACACCTATCACCTGAGACAGTGCGCCCACATTATTCAAGCACCTACATTTGTCAACAGGCATTTATTGAGCATCTACCAAATGCTGGGCCAGGCTAAGCACTAAGAATTCAGTGATGAGTGGGACCTGCCCTCATGAACTCACAATCTAGTGAAGGCTGAAGGAAAACAGATAACTATGCAAAGAAAAAAATGTCTTTCCCTGGGCCACTTGGCATATTTGGACTTGCACAGTGGGCATTTTACAGATAACTCCATAGCATCACTCCAGATTGAGGTGAAGAGTTAACACAGAGTGCTCGTATCTTATTGCCCAGTGGCTGGTGTCTCGGACGTACAACCTCAGTCTCCCCTCCACAGCATTCTCTCCAGACCCTAAGGCACTCCTTTCAATACACAGCCCATAGAACCATAATGCAGAATCTCCCAAGTTATCACATTTTAGTCACATATAACTCTCACCCCTTAGAAACTTATTTTCAACTTCCCATTACCAAATGTTTCCTTAGAACCTCCTGGAATAACACAGAGAGCAGCTTCACTTGTAAGGAGGGCTATATATCATTCTAACCCTTAAAGCCTTTTTCACCTCTTACCACACAGGGAGCGTATCATAGAATTACGACTTCCACTTTCATCCAACTCATTAAAAATCCTGCTGATTTACGCCCAGAGTCTTCATGGTGTAGAAAGAAAGGCATTTTGTTCACAACTTTCATCTCACTTCTGGAGTTCCTCTAGGAGGCGCCTCTGGCCTTGGACTTCACAGCCTCTGTCTTTCCCACTCCTCCCCTTGGGCTGAACATGGAGCCTCTAATCATTATTAGCGGGTGCTGATCAGGGAACATGCATCCATTCATTGTTTGTGCCATTTTCCCTCTTCTGCTTTTAGATGTGTCCTGCCTGCTTCCCAGGCGTACCTCAAATCCAGCCTTCTCTGCAATGCCATTTGTGGTTAAGCCCGTTCTCCCAACTTCCTTCTCCAGCACACAGACCTGTCATGTCTGTGATACTTATTAATAATATTTCCGTAGCTTCAGGAATGCGTTCTGCCTCCAGACATACCAGAACCGCCTGACAGCAAGAACAATACCTTGTATTGTTTGTCTACTCAGCACCCAGCTCTGAGACTCACACCCCTGAGATGCAGAGCCCGTGGTCTCCTTTATTAAACTACACAAACCTCTCCCCGCACCCACCCTTCCCCCAGCTCTTCTAGAAAGAGGCTTGTCATATAACTCCACTTGGAGTTCAGCATTAGTGGCTGCCTAAATATCAAGAACCCAAGGTCACAGAGATTGAACATATTCAGAGAGCAATTCCATTGCATGGATGGTTTCACCATGAAGTGGATTTACTGTAAAATCATCAATGATTAAAATTCAAGTCTCCTCGGGTGCATAAGCTTCACTCCCAGGGCTCTAGGAGGGGTCTTAGCAATATGTTCACATGGCAGTGTTTTGTAAAATTGTCAAAAGAAAGGTATTTTAACTACAATTGTCCCTTTCCATTCAGACTCCTACTACATCTTATCTCCCCTCATGTTGTGGGTCGTTTGAGTGACCACAAACATGGGTGGGGTCTCACTTAAGGGAAATTGAGGGGAGTGTGTTTACCTGAAATATATTTATGTGACTTGAGGTCACTGTCATGTATAGTTAAGTAATTGCTAGCCATCCACATTAGGCACGGCTTCCAGGAAAACTCTTACCATGGACAGTGGCAACTCAACCAGATACTGTGACATTATGGTGTCAGGTCAGAGGTGATTTTACAACATGAGCACGTCCTACCATCCCCAATACCAAAAATATACAGATAGTAGAGAGAAAACCAGATACGTGTGCCAGATGCTAGTCTATGGAAAATGCTCCCAGTCACCAGACTACTGAAATTTTAAATACACGATTGCGTTGTCTCTCAGAGGGAATGTATTTGATAATGCAGCATTGAAAATAATAACTGGGCCATGCATTTTTTTTCTTTTTTAATAGGAATCAAACAAAAGAGAATTTACTTAGGCTTCTGGTTTATAGCACAAACCTGTAATGGTGTTATAAGTAATGAGTATGCCTATCACAACCCATATATGAAAGAAATTTTACAGTGGTTTTCTACTAAATTTGACATCAACCTAGAAAATGTGTAAGATAGTATCCGTAAAAGTTTGTGAAGCTGAAAAATTTCAATCAACAATATTAGAGTAAGACTGGATTATCTTTCTGTTTCCCCTAGAGAAAATGATGCTATAAAACTGCTATCATATGAACAGACAATCAAGGAATACAGAGCCCACGCTGTAGGGGAAAGCATTGTGGATGTGTATTGGCAGTTGATTAGTTAAAATATCATTTTTCTGGGAGTTGTCATTTTTGTGGTACTTGTCAGCCTTTTCACTTTTGAGATTTGTTGTGATTCTGCCTTTTAAATAAATGAAGATTCACTTTCACACCTAAGTTAGAATTTTCAATTTTGTTTTTCTTTTTGTCAAACAGGGTTTCCCAAAGTTGGGCCCTAAAAACCTGGACCCTCCGCTACAGAAAGATATATGTTCCAAGTATAAGAAAGTGGTTGGCTTATGCCTTGCTTTGTTCCGGGTTGGGCCCAGCTAGTAAAGTGTGAACAGTATCCTTCACATGTAGGCAGTTTCACATAGCAGCCCAGAATGAATAAAAAGTAAGCTCATCTCCAGAGACCTAAAGACAGTATCCGAGGGCAGAGAAATTGTTATCACAGATGTTTTTCTTTGCTCTCTGTTTTTCCCTCCCCCACTATACTATAAGGTAATAAGAGCCCAGGATAAGGTAATGCACCTTTCCTCAAGGAGAATGGGAAATTGTCTAATCAATTCAGTACGCAGTAACTGCCACCCCAGCTGCATGTTATTAAAAGTCGTGGAGGACAGATAGATATTGAGCCAGTTTTCGAAGGACAAAATTACTATTGTTATACAAACATTGTCAAATGGCTCGAGATCACGGATCCCAAGTGCCACCTATTATTTATGCTTCCATTTGCACTGTTGGCAAAGGGACTCACGTCTGATTCCTTCCTGTTCACCCATCTTATTAATCCAAGGAAGAGAACCTCCGAATGAGAGTGTGGGTGGCATTTCATGCCCTTTCTTCCCCCAAATGTCCATCAAGTTATTCTCAACAAGCAGGTATTGTATCCTAAGGATACACTGCAAGGTTATTGTGAGCCTAGGAAAGTTGAGGAAATCTCCCATCACTTGGGGCAATAAAATTATAGTGCTCTTTACACTTCAGCAATGCATAACTATTTTAGCTTTTAAGGCCTTTCCCAAAATCTTTTGATTTTGGTTTTTTGACCTCAAACAGAAAAAGGATGGACTCTGAGAAACATGACCATGAACAACTAACAGAAATCAGGCCCCATACGCCTGTAGGCATCTACTTAAGTCCAAACGTCTGACTAAATATCCAGATAATTAATCTTCTGAGTTATAAATGGTCAAATCCACTTGTTAAGAATAAAAACCTTTGGATGCTTTTTAGCAAAATATGGTAAAACTTCATATCTGTCATCTCATTTAACACAGACCTTCTAGAACCTCATTTCTAACACGTCCCTTTCTGCAGGGCTGTGCCCCAATCAGGCTCTTCCTAGATGCTTCTTTGTAGTATGTGGCACTTTCTACCTCCAAGTATCACTCACGCTATCCGACCTTCCAGGGACACCCACCCGGTTCCCTACCCACCAAACTCCTATTCCACTCTCAGAACATATCTCACCTCTTTGAAACTTCAAGATTTTTTTCTCCCCCTCTCCATCTGAACACCCATAGTAGATTTTTATCTATGTGATATGTTCGAGATTTAAATGATCGTTACTCTGAATTATTAACATTGTAGCTATTGTTTTTATACTCTAACTTATTTGGACATTTAAGATGGCTAAAACGAAGCAAACAGCACATGATTAAATAAATTAGAATGAACTAAAACCAAGAGGCAAAGAGAAATCCACTTACCCCAGACAATATTAAAAGCGAAAGGAGAAAGCGAGCAAGAAATGAGAAAAGGGAAATGGAGAGATGTGTTCATTGCAGTTGTAAACAGAGGCTTAGAGGACTACAAATCTTTTCTCCTATTTCATGAGACATGATAACCCTTGATAAACCTGAAGATTTTTGTTGGCACTGTTACATTGACTCTTACTACGAAGAGACTGCTTTGTTCATTGGGCCATGAAAGGAAGAGAGCGTTTGGTGGGATCAGTGGGAATTACGATGAGGGTGTTAGAGGTCTACATGGAAGCTCAAAGGTAAAATGCCTGTTTTGAGGCCAGATCATCTATAAAAAATGTGTAGGACCCTCCAAACATTTGCTCCCAACTGATTCCTGCTTTCTTCAAAAAGATCTGCCAGGTTTTCACTTCATTGACCGAGTTTGTGCTCTTTCCCAGGTCTGCTTTGTGAACCTGGATGTGAACAAGGATGAGAGCACCACGGAGCACCTGCAGCAGGTAACACTGGGAACTCGAGCTCTCAGGGTGCTCATTACAGGGGCTGGCTGCACGCACGACAGCTAACATGACTTCATCTGTAAATGATGCTCATTTTGTAGGAGAGACTCTTTAATTGGGTGGTTTCATGACCCCTTCCTGCCACTTTCCCATGCAGTTTGCCCTGCTTCTATTATATTTGCACATCTCACTTCCCCAGAGATGGGGCTACTCTCCAAGCAGGCCCTTTGTCCTGCCCCCCAGTGCCTCAGAGTGGTGTTTCTGCTCTCCCCTTCTTCATTCTCGAGCACCCTGCCCGAAATGACTTTTCCAAGGTTTTTCCAAAACCTGCTTTGATACCAGCCAGTCCTTCCCTCTGCCTCTCATGTCTGCTGCTTCTTGCTGCTTTCATCAAATGTTTTATCTCCGACCTTGCTTTTCTAGCCCTATGCTCATCTGGGGCTCAGCCCCACATTTTGCACTCTGCAGCAGCTAAATATTCCAAACTCATCTGAGGCTGTGAGAATCCGGATGTAAACCCTTGACAACACACAAGAACTTGAAGGCTCATTCTGTCCTTCGGAACTAGACCCCATGAGTGCAACAGGAAAAAATTAATTGGTGTGATATGATTATCATTTCATGCCCAAAGCTGAAGATGGTTTGATTTTACTATTTGGTATAGTGCTTTTAGTTAAAACGGCATAGCATTTGTAGTTTGATTGTCACAGGAGACCTGCAATTACTCGGTTACTCCCATAATGCTTTTCTCCTGACAATGCTGCAACCTGAAGCTTCTCGAACTCAATTGCCCATACAGATTATTATCCATTATAGATGTCCACCGAGCTCCAATATCATTCATCTGTGTAGCTCGGGAGGGGTTTTCAGAATAAACTGTGCCTAGGATTTTGTTTGATGGAATTATGGTGCAGAGTGCACCTAAGAGAACACAAAGGACCAAAGCAAGTTGGCATCTTAAAAACTGTGTGTTTGAAGATTTGTGTGAGTGATTTGAGATGGTCCCCTGCTATGGCGAAGAGCAGACACTTGGCAATGATTTAGCTGCATAAACTTGTGTGAGGTATTAATCTTCTCTGGGCCTCAGGCTACTTATGTGTAAAAAAAAAAGTAACAGTGGTAACCTAATCCATATAGGGGCTCTGTGGGGATTAAATATAATAAGATGTGACATATGTACAGTCTTTAGCTTAGTGCCTAGAACAGAGCAAAATCAATGTTACTAATTATTGTATTATTAATATAATGATTTAATTTATTAGAACAGGTGATTGCTAGTCAATACATCACTTATTCCAGGACTTAAGAGGAAAAAATCCCCAAACTACTATATATAACTGTGGTGTGACAGTAATTATTAAATGTTTACTTTGGGAAATTTAGAACCAAAGAATTTTTAGATCTTTATGGAATTTCCTATTCCAAACTCAACCGTTACACTTCAATTTCACACAATCTCTTCTAATAATATAGCACATGAAGTGATCTCTAGCATGAATAGTTACATGAGTATATTATTTTTGCCAGTAAATAGTTTCAGGGGAGTGTTTTGGAAGTGAAAGGAAATCATCTAAACTAATAAAGATTCTTGCTCTGCAGAAATTGGTTAATGTATCACCAGATCTCCCAAAACTTATCAACTCCATGAACGTCCAACAGCCAAAAGAAAATGAAATTGTCCTCCTAAGCGGGTTAACATCTGGAAATCTCCAGACAGATTTTGAAGTTTCACAGGTAAGAAATATAAGCTCTTGATAAGGTTTTCACTAGCGATCAGGTCTTGGCACAAATCAGTGTGACCCCCAAGTAGACACTACACATAAACTCCTGTAGCATAAAAATAGAAAATGTCTTTGCATTCAAGAATATTCTTCATTTGTATTTCTCCTAAATGTTGCCACTTAAAGTTTGACAGAGCTTTCCTCACATCAACTCCTAACATTTATTCTTTTCTCAAGTTCATGGTGCTAAGTGGTACTTAAACCAGAGCAGACACACTAGGCATTGATTGGCTGGCTTAGTTTTCTGCAAATCTACTGGATAATAAAAAACAGAATTGTCTTCTGTTTCAAGAACAACACCAAAATTCTGATTCATACCATGTGATTTCAGAATCCCACAATTTCTTCCTTTTGAATGTTAGTTATGTCTTAGGATGTACCCAACAGCCAGGCTAATAAATGCAGGATAGCAACCCCCAGGATACAAAGGGTGTTTCCAGGGAAATTCCCAGAAGAAACAAATATTACTGAAAATAAAGTAAGAATTAAAATGCTATTATTCTCATTCAACATACTGACATTCATTGTTATTATATAAATTATTATATTTACTTGAAGAAAAATAACAAAATTTTTCATTGTTTAATCAATTTACAGAAAAATAGATAAAAAATTTCTAAAGGCACACTGTATAAAAAAGATTGCTAATTTTCTCAAATAAGATAAGTTGGTAGTGATAGTTACAGATTAAGATAACGAGCATTTGTTTCCTCGCAAATCGTTCTTCCTTGGTTTTAGTTTTGCTGAAAATCTTTAAAATATTTTATTCTTCAATCTTTCAAAATATCAAAAAATTCAGAGGCCCACCCATGATTTCTTTCTCTACTCTAGATGTTTCATAAAAATCTATGCACAAAAAAGCAAAAACAAAAAAACCTATCCAACAATTCTTGCTAAACAATCGTGTTTCCTCTGTTTTCTCTCTTTGAACTTTTCCTTATATTCATTAGTCTCTGGACACCCACTAATTTTCTGAACAAACATAATGCCAAATTCTCATTTGCCCTAAAAGTTTAAAAAAACAGTTAAGTGAAACCACTTAGTGGTATATCTAAATATGTGTTTCTATTATTATTGCTATTAATATTATTTACTTGTTCTAAGTTCTTGTCTGAGATGTGCACCTTCAAGTTCTTCCTTCTTCCAGAGATATACGCCTCCTCGATCCTTTTTTGACAAGCCGCTGCTCATTCTTCAGGTTGCAGCTTAAATGGTCAGCCTCAAACTTCCTAATCCACTTCTCCAAACCTGAGTCCGTTTCCCATTACACTTTCTCTAGTAAGTTGGGCTTTCCCTTCAGAGCAAATAAAACACGTTATAGTGTAGGTCAATATACATGTTCACTTAATACCTCTCCCCCTTTACAATGTAATTCTGCGAGATCCAAGTTGGTATTTTTTTGGTCACCACTGTGCATGCAGCACTTAAGACCATGGCTGGTTTACGGTAGGTGTACAAAAATTAATTTGGAGTGGATAAATTACAAAATTAAATCTTATAATTGTGTTATAGAGGACTTCCAGCATATGAATCAGTATTAAACTTTGTTCTATAATATCTTAAGCACATTGCACTTATTAACTATCACTTTTTGCAGTTAACAATTAAAGTATACATTAATTAAAAAAAATCTACGCACAGCCTATTACAATTTGCAAATCAAGTCTAGTACATTTCCTTAGTGAGGAAATTAATCGTCTGAAAAGAGAACACAGAAGTGCCTCTAAACAGCCTCTCTTTATATGAAGCAAAACCGTGATGACCAAAAGTAATTTTCAAACCTGAGTTTTAAGAGCATTTCTAGACTAGTTCTGTTAGGATTTCTAACTAAACATGGCAGAAAATTGGCGTAAGCACGAAGAGAATGCATTGTTTCATGTAATTAAAAAATTCAGATTAAATACAAGGACTTAAACAGTGTCATCAGACGTGGATTTTCTCTGTGGCCTCTCTCCTGCTTTCTCTGTTTACCCCATTATCAGACAAGCTCTTCCGACAAGTAGGAGGCAATATCGCTATGGGTTCAAGTTCAGGAGGCTTCCAGCAACAGTCTCATTGTGTCTTATTGGCTCTCAAGAGTCATGTGCCCATTTCTGAACTAATCACTATGGCCTGAGGAATAAGAGAGTCAAGCTGTCCAGACCTGAGTCACATGATCAGCTCTGGAGCTGGAGGTGAATTAACTCCATGTGGATTACTTGGACTGTGAGTGGCCCAGAAAAATGGCACAGGGTGTGAGAACCAAAGGAAGGGTGAATGATGTTTGGTCAGAAAAGCAACCCAGATAATCATTAGTGTAAGGGAGACTACGATTGCCCAAAACTCATTAAAAGCATGTTTAAAATGCTGCATACTTTTCTTAAGAGCTGGCAAGAATTTCCTGTGAGCTACAACATACACATGTCAAAATTCTTTGTTCCAAGGGTCCCCACCACTGCCTGTGTGTCACTTCACCCACAGAAAGGCTAGCTGGTCCTTTCAGGGTCACACAGCTATAAAGAGAAACAGCCAGCAATGCAAGCCAGGTTTGTTGGACTCTAACTCCCTTGTCCTTTCCAATTCTCCCCATGGCCTCCTGGTCCAACCAACAAAGACCCAGCACCCACATGACAAGCGCAGTTTAGAAAGGATGGTGCGTTGCACTGAGACCTACTCAAACTCAGGCATGCTTAGTAAAGTTATGTCTGCATCTCACAGAAAGAACGGCCACGGGAGCAGATCTTGTGACTGTACATAATAACCATCTCAGAAAAAAAAAAGTTTTTTCTAAAGGAAAATAATCTATTTTACTTGTATTTTCCACTTAGTATTTTACTTGACTGTTGGCTGTTGTAATGATTATTTTTCTGAAGATTTTTTAGAGTCTTATCCTAAGACTCTACTGAGGACAGTTTGAGGAAGGAAAAAGGTAACTGTTGTGCCACGTCCTCATTGGTTGCTTACCAGTGTGTATTCATTAGTCTTTTGAAACATATACGCATAGATAGTTATGTATGTGTTTATATATATTTAATAATATCCACAAGAAATAAGGTCCAAGAGAATACAGACCATAGATAAGTAGCTCCGTGAGAGCAAGATGTCTGACTTATTCACCACTCAGCACTTAGTAGGTGCATAAAAATATTTGTTGAATGAATAAACACATAAATCAATGAGGGATGTTCTGCACATTTCTTTACGTTTTTCCAGTTGTATAATTTAATTGTAAAATAATGTAGCAGTATGAAAGCAAGAGTCATTGGCTGAGGTAAAAAGAAAAAGACGTGAACAAAGAGAAAACTGCTCATAGATAACAAAACTAGAGCAACAGAAAGCTGTCTCTGCATTAGCTTTGCAACAATATTGTACTTTTCGTGCCCAAAGGGGCCAGTTTGTAAATGGGTGATTACTCTTGGTGTTCTTAGTCCTCCACCCTGGTACCTTATTTTGCTTTTAAAAACATTTTCTTTATACTTCATCTTCCTTCAACTTTTTGGATATGGAAAGAAACTAATTTGCATTTGAATAGCCCTTTGTGCTTCCTGATGGTGCTTTCATATTATTTCATTAAATCACTATGACTAGTCTCCAAGAACAAACAGAGGAAGGTATTATTTTTAATCTCCATTTTATTGAATAGGAAACTAAAGTTAAGAGAAGTGAGGTAGCTTCTCATGTGGACTACTGAAAATGTTACACTGATGGCCAAAAATCTTTGGTACTGTAATTTCCTGGGTTGAAGGTGCCAAGCGGCTGTGTGTTCCCATCCTCACATGGTCTTTGAGAACATGAGCTATGCCCTTGGGACTATTTAAACCTCCCCAATTAACCCAGTTCAAGTGGCTTTCACCAATCTCTCCATCTTTCCTTATGAAATTAGCAGATAACCAACTTTTAACGGGACAGGGCAACTAAGCCAAGGCTACCCCTGAACAAACAGGCAATGGCCGTAGTTGACTAAGAGGAGAGTCCACATTGCTCTGCAGCCCTGGCATTGCTGAGCTATGAAAACAGATGGACTGTGGTACCTACAAAATAATTTACCCGTTTGGGAGATTTGCTCCAATTTTCAGAACTACCACCTACTGTGAAGATACAAAAAAAAGTTCGCCTTCCCTTTGGTAAAGCCACTGAGCAGGCTCAGATGGACTACAGTCCTCCCACAGAAGCTCGTAAAAATGCCATCGCCTCTTGCTTCAGTGGAGCTGCGGTCTGACTCAATTCTGGCCTTGCTCTCCTGTTTTAATAGCTTTCGAAAAAGTCTTCTGTACCTGTTTGACTTTGCCCAGGGCAATTTTTCCTTTGTTAGAAGGGAACAAAAATATGTGCTACAACGGGTCTCTTTTACCCTAGGTCAAATTTTTTCCTAGGCACCCTGTGTTCCCAAATATCACTTGAACTTTTCTTGTTTTGTTTTATTTTGTTTGAAGCAGCTCATCGATATAAGCCTAGAAGATATTCCAAATCTTTTAAAGGTCCCCACTCCTTCTGACAGGAGAGATTGGTGGAAGAAGAAAGGTCGGGGTTAGTGGGTTTCTATTTTCTCTTTTAATAAATGTCTTTTATCTCTGTCCTTTCAGTGTCCTTGGATGCCAGATATCTGCTTGGTCCAGTGTGCCAGAGGGAACAGACCAAACAGTACCAATTGCATTATCTTTGAAATCAACAAATTCTTGATTGGTCTAGAACTGGTGCAGGAGCGGCAGCTCCACCTGGAGACAAACATCTTGAAAGTGGAGGATGACACAAACTGTTCCCTGTCTTCAATCGAGGAAGACTTTCTCACTGCGTCCGAGCACTTGGAGGAAGAAAGCGAGGTGGAAGAATATAGGAACGGTGAGGACTCAACCAGTAAAACAGATGCTCATTCTGAAGTTAGTCATCCTGTAAAAATGTCTGGATGGAATTTGAGCAAAGTGTCAGGCCTCGTCAGTTTGGCTGACACATCACAATCTCCACTAACTGAGTTCAGGGCAGGGAGGAGGCTAAGAAAACAGCAGGGAAGATGCTGACTGATGCACTTAGACTTAATGGTTAGATGGCTCCATTCTCCCTAAAGATGCCTTAGGGGTGATGTGTGTCTTAAAGGGAAATGGTCCTGCCTGCCAAGAGATGGAGAGTATCCCTGGAAGGAAAGTTAACTCCCCTAAGACGTCCATAAAAGCCACCTATTTGTTGCAGCCAAGTTAGACTGGCCTGAATCCTCACATGGCCTCTTTGAAGCTGTGCAACCCGGGGCCAGTCATCTAGTCTTTCTGAGCCCTTATCCATAATTTGGGAGTGTAATAGCTACTATAGCACTATTATGTTTAAATTTATATTATAATTACATTGTTATATTTTATTATTGTCATGTGCCACTTAATGATGAGAAAGGTATTCTGAGAAATGCATCTTAGGCGATTTCATCATTGTGCAAACATTACAGAGTGCCCTCATACAAACCTAGATGGCATAGCCTATGACACACCTGGGCTACATGGCGATAGCCTATTGCTTCAGGCTACAAACCTGTACAGCACATTACTGTACAAAACAACATGAGATAAATCAAGCACAAGAGAAAATGGTGCAACCAAGAGATGCAGTAAACACGAGATGTAGGAGACTGATGCCGGTATAACACCGTATATTGTTTTACAGCAAACTTTTTATTTAATAAGTAGAAAGAGTTTTACATGGATATTGTAATGGCTACAATGTCACTAGGCAATAGGAAATTTTCACCTACATTATAATCCTATGGGACCAACGTCACATATGTGGTCTGACATTGACCAAAATGTCGTTATGTGGTACATGACTATATTAGACTATTATTAATGTGAGGGCAGAAGGAACTAACCCAAGAAAGTGCTTAGCACTCATTTATTCACTGTTTCTTCTTCTTTTTTTTTTTTTAAAGATTTTTATTGGGGAATTGGGGGGATGGGAACAGCGGTGGGGAATTGGGGGAAGGGGAACAGAGAAGTTGCTGTCGTTTTGTTCTTCAGTCTAGTTGTGGAGGACGCTGCTTCACTGGCCCAAGTTGGCACCATCATTGCGCTCTTCCTGGGTGAGGCAGATCAGTCACCGGCTTCTGGACGGCCGCTCACTGCGGCTGCTGGCTACACACGGTAGCCCATGGCAACCCACTGCCACAGGGGCTGCAGCCTACGCCGTTGCCAGTGACTCACGGCAGTCCAGCTCCAGGTTGAGCTGTTGTTCAGCATCTTAGCTGTGGAGGGCAGTGTCACTGGCCCTCATATGTGGGATCCGAACCAGGGCCCTCTGGCACCCCAAGCCAGTTCTTAATCATCATGCCACTCATCCGGCCCTATTCACTGTTTCTATTGACTTATTAGTGGAGCTCTGTGAACAATGGGCTCCTCTCCCCCACTCTTAACCTGAGAGATAATCCAGATGTTGCTACTGTCCCTGGGGCGAGTCCTATGCAAACTCCAGTGCAAATCTTTATAACAAGACCCACGATTCAAGTTGCTCTAAATATCCCACTCCACTGTCTTTCCTCACTAAGAAGCTATAGGATGCAATTTGGGGGTTACTTTTCCCCTGAAGAATGGTGACCAGATCTCAGCACCCAAAAGCCTTCTTCCACTCTAGCACTTGCATTTGTATTCTGCATTGAAAGCCATGTTGTTGGGTGGCATTCCGTAATGAAACTCAAAAGCCTTTTCAGATTTATTCTTCTTTAGGAAACATCCAAATGTTATTTATTTTATTATTTATGTTATTATGTTTGTTTGTTTTTTTTTTGGCGGGGAAAGATACCTGATACTTGAAAGCATTTTTAGGAAGTAAGTATTATTTTAGACTCATGAGAACCTGCTACCCAAAAAGTAATAGTGGTCTTCATTTTCTCTTCACTAGGCTGTGAAAATATAAATCTTTCAGCCAATGTTATGGAAAGTAAAAAGCCAAAGGAAACCACCCAGGAGGAATGGGATTACAATAAGGAAAAGTCACTTAATACTTTGGAAGACAAATACATTAGCAAGTACCATGCATCACTGATTAAAACAGAAGGATCTCTGGAGAAAGGAACAGAAGATACAACTTTGCAGAGTCTAGATCCATCAATCAACACATCAGAGTGGAAACGTGAACCTGTGGGAAATGACAGGTCAGCCACAAATTATTATTATTCAGAAAAATGTAAAGGCCAAATGGAAAAATTGCAGGCGCTATATATTCCAGGCAATGCTTATTTCTCCAGGGTGGTTAAGAAAGATGGACCTTCTGCCTGTGGTACTCTCACTGAGCATGGCAACAGCTTAGACGCAGGAGATCATGAAGATGCAACAACCTCTCTTCTTCCCATTCAAGATGGAAAAGCCACAACTGGCGAGTACGCTACAAATTTAGCAGAGTCTGTGCTACAGGATGCATTTATTAGATTATCTCAGTCTCAGCCTACACTACCCCAGGAATCTGTGGTCAGTGTCTCTGTAGGAAGCACTCCGCTCTCCAGTGGCTGCTCCACAAAAGACATTGTGGCCCCTCGGTCATGGAATGAGCTCCCCAAAATCGTCATTGTTCAGAGTCCAGATGGCAGTGATGCTGCCCCTGAGCCAGGTATCTCTACATGGCCTGAGATGGAACTCTCTGTTGAAACTTCAGGTGTCCCTTCCAGAGAGAACTCTAGCAGACACCCCCAGAGTGCTCTAGAAGTAGCATTAGCTTGTGCAGCCACTGTGATTGGAACTATTTCCAGTCCAAAGGCCACAGAAAGACTCAAAATGGAGCAAGAAGCCCTGGTTTCAAACCATCCACTAGGAGACCGTGAACCACGGCAAACTCCAGCTTCCCAAGTAGTCACGGAGCCTTCGATCAATGAGTACTCATTTCCATCTGCTTTGTGTGGCATGACACAGGTGGCGAGTGCCGTGGCTGTCTGTGGCCTGGGTGAAACAGGGGAGGTGAAGTACCCTGTGGTTTCAAGTGGCCTCTTGTCTGCAGCTGAGTCTTCTGCAGCAACCCCCCCACTTTGTAATTTAGTGACAGGGAAGAGCATGGAGCTGGGAAATGAAGCCATCGCAGAGGCATTGCTCAATGAGGCCACTCTGGTTCTGACAAGGCCTAATACCTACAGCAGCATTGGTGACCTCATGGAATCCATAACCAGGAGAATCATGGAAACTGCTTCAAAGCCTCAGACCTTGTGCTCAGAAAATGTCCTCAGAAATGAACTGGCCCAGGCCTTGTCCAGTGTTATCCTGAAGCATGCCATTGATGAAGTTCACCAAACAAATAAAATAATCGACCACAACAACGGCAGGCATACCTCTGAAACTCTGGATACCTTGATGGAAAGTACAAATCAACTGCTCTTCAGTGTGATATGCTGCACATTTAAGAAGATGAGCCATCTTGCACAGCTGAGTGAATGTCCCACCATCCATCCTAAGGAGACCATTGGATGGAGAGAAACAGACCTAAGCTGCCAGCCCCCTGATCAGGCTGCTGGTCAGGCACGGACGAAAGCCACTGAATGCTCCAGCCACCATCCACTCAGCAATGCACATAGCACTAGTCCTGTTATCAATGAGGCTGTAGATAACGTGCATCCAAAGCAAGACAGCAAAGGCCCAGTGAAGCCAGGCCTCTTTCAGAGCCCCACACTGCAATCTGAATTGTCTTGTAGTCCCAGAGTGCCTGGTTCTTCGACTGCAAAAACATCCCCTGAGGAAATATACCTGAAAGGAACCATGGCAAAGGATACAAAAAACCCTCACCAGGTGCTCAGTCACAATGAGAGTGGATGTAGAGCCTCATCAGAGGGAGAATGGACACCCACAGCCTCCAAGTGCAACCACGGTTCCCAGGATGCTGAGGACGGCTTCAGTCCAAACACCCAAGAAAAGTACAGCTGTGTCTCACCTCTAAGAAACGAACTTCAAGTCAGTCTGTCTTTGTTAGAGAATGACTTGCCGCTCCCTGCTCAATCTGTGCTACAGGCACAACACACAGACGCATACTGCATTACAGACTTTGCGGAAGAGTTAGCAGAGACCATTGTCTCCATGGCAACTGAAATCGCAGCAATTTGCCTTGACAACTCAAATGGAAAACAGCCCTGGTTTTGTGCATGGAAAAGAGGAAATGAGTTTCTGGTTACCCCGAACGTATCCTGCCGATCCTTGAAGAGGAAGGAGAGTCAGGCGGGTGGGGCCACCGTGAGGAAACACAAGCCGCCGCGGCTCAGCGAGATCAAGAGGAAAACAGATGAGCACCCAGAGCTTAAGGAGAAGCTGATGAACAGAGTGGTGGACGAGTCCATGAACCTTGAGGACGTCCCAGATTCTGTCAATATTTTTGCAAACGAAGTGGCAGCCAAGATCATGAACCTCACCGAGTTTTCCATGGTGGACGGCGTCTGGCAAGCCCAGAGCTTTCCCCGGAATCGGTTACACAGCGGAGATAGGTGGAACCGGCTGAAGGCCTCCAGCTGTGAAAGCATTGCAGAGGAGGACTCGGATGCCAGGGCCTACGTCAACGGCCTGGGTTTAATGAGCACCCTAAGTCAGCCGGTGAGCAGGGCCAGCTCTGTCTCCAAGCAGTCGAGCTGTGAGAGCATCACCGATGAGTTTTCCAGGTTCATGGTGAACCAGATGGAAAATGAAGGAAGAGGGTTTGAGTTGCTGCTGGATTACTACGCAGGCAAGAATGCCAGCAGCATCCTGAATTCAGCTATGCAGCAGGCATGCAGGAAACATGACCACCTCAGCGTGAGGCCAAGCTGCCCCTCGAAGCAGTCCAGCACCGAGAGCATAACTGAGGAGTTCTACAGGTACATGCTGAAGGACGTGGAAAGAGACGGCAAAGACAGCGCCTCCTCCAGACGAAGCAGCCAGGATTGGACGGCTGGCTTCCTGTCACCTTCTCTGCGATCCCCTTTGTGTTACCGACAGTCATCCATGCCAGACGGCAGATCCCTGGGGGCCAGGTTGACGGTGAACGCGCCGTTCAAAGCCAACTCCTTAGATGGCTTTGCCCAAAACAGCCAGCGAGATTTCCTGAGCGTACAGCCAGTCAGCAGTGCTTCCTCTTCAGGGCTCTGCAAATCCGACTCTTGCTTGTACCGGAGAGGTGGGACTGACCACATCACAACCATGTTAATTCATGAGACATGGGCAAACTCCATCGAGGCCCTCATGCGGAAGAACAAAATTATAATGGATGATGCCCAGGCAGCTGAGGCTGAGCCCGTTTCCAGGGGCTCCCCCTTGCAACTGGAGAAGGGTGCAAACAGATTACCTTCGAGCAAAGTGCAGAGTGGGCCAATTCTTCTTGTCCAGGAATCTATTGATTACCCAAGGAAAGACTCCATTACCAGAAGCCAACATCCCCCCGAGTCGGCTTTAAGCAAAGATGCTCCTCTTACAAAGCACAACGGTTTCGATTCTAAAAAGGAAACTCCCTTGTGCCATGATGGTGTCCCTCTAAACTACACCAGGCGACCACTTTGTTCAAGGGAAGTGCCTTTAATTCAGATTGAAACGGATCAGAGAGAAGAATGCGTTGGTGAACCTGAACACATCCTCTCCAAAAGCAGCCCCCTAGAGGAGGCAGCAGAGCATTTGAAAGAAGAAATGGGCCCAGATGTGGCGAGGGGTGGAGACGCTGCCGAGAGTGCCCGCCAAAACTGTAGGTGAGTACATCTCTGAGACTAGATAAGGGTGCATGGGACTGGAGTTTACATCTTAATTAGTATTTATTCTAAATTTTAGGGACTTTATTGATGCAAGAACTGAGTTCCTGAGACAATAAATGACCTCCCTGGGTTACTATGCACTTACAATAGAAAGATGGAAGTTATTATTATTTTTTTTTATTTCTAAAACAAATTGGTTTCATTTACATAATAGAGGAACTAAGGTATTATTCTCCCTATTGAAATTAATCATCCATAGTATGCTGCTTTTTAAAATTTGCCCATGGCAATTTTCAAGCAAAAAAGAAAAATATGTGAACTAATCCATTTGAAAAAAAAATTAAATTTAAATAAACTTTAATATTCGAAACTGACATTAACTATTTTGGTATCATTTTTCTCTAGGGCCTTCTCCTTTCAAGTTTTTCTTTATTGCCTTGTTCTAAAGATCTTTTCAAGGACACTGTGTCCCAAAAGTGCAGGCTCTTTCAATGCATGGTATAATCATGGAGGCATTAAGGACAAAACAACACTAGAGTATTGTCATTTCAATTTCTCTTTCAGAAAATTGTAATTGTAGGTGACAATGCTTTTTGATTTTGAGGCAAAGTAATTATTTCTCTTGGGCTGCTTAAAGAAGTGTCAATTCCTTTTAAAACTCCCATTTTCTGTAGAAAATTCATAAGATTCTTGAATGAGACCATTGTATCATTTTTAAATGCTTGGTCTATAGTTAAAGGTAAACAAAACAGAGGAAAACAAAAACAAAAATTAAGCTACTGGCCTTGGGGAACGTTAGTGGAGAAATAGCCCGCATAGTCTTTTCAGAGACATGTGCCTATTGAATGAAGAGCCGGGGGTTTTTTAATGTTTCATTGCAATAAACAAGTTGAGCGCAGCCTTCGTCAAATTTTATCAGCTCTCACGTGTCCCCAGTATTCCCCCACCTCACCAGGGAAGCAAAAGGGGTCCTTCCTAACTAAGGTGCTGGTGATCCCCCATCATTATAGGGCATCATTACAAGGTGTAGGTGGAGTTGGTCGGAAGGCTGTGGGTTATTGTTAACCTGATTAACATTGTTAAGCTGATTAACAAGGTGTAGGTGTTGTGTGGTCCAGGTGCATGCATTTCATTCTCAACCACTTAGTGCTAAGAACTTAACTTTCCAATTGGATTAAATTGTGGAAGAAATCAAAGGGAAGAAAGCATGAAAATATACAAATAAGCAAAAGAACGCAAAGTTAAACCCAATGAAGTATAGGCTAAGTTAACCACGAAGACAAGTTCATATATATCAGTAATTTCTCAGCTAAAGACAATACCTATCAAAGCCTTACAGGAGCACCTCACCTCACTTTAACATTCACCACCTTCAGGAAGTATGGAGAATTACAAGTTTTTAAAAGTGATCAGAGTTGAAGAAACAAAATAGCCAATGTGCCATTCTTTAGAATTACTTTAACTTGAGATAGGAGAAAATGGAACACCCTTCTTTTAGGTTCCAGGTATCAGATGTAGAGTCTCCTTGAACACAGAGATCATAAACCACTGAGATTTTTAGTCAAAGAAGGTAACCTAGTTAGGGAGCATTCATGAACTAATAATGAACAAGATTCACGGTTGTAGGTTCAAATCAAATAGTGACTGTCACTGAAGTTACATAAAATTCATTATACAGTTTTGAGTCAAGTGTCACTATTATGCTTAAAATAGGTACAGCCTGGGGACTTTCAAAAAGTTGGAGAAAGATGTATAAAGAAAGCCTCCAATGATTTAGGTTTGTGTTCCATATAATGACCCAAGCATATATTCTCTCATGATACAGATTTCTGATTTTGTTTTCCAGTAATGAAAGAAAAAAATGTGGAATCACCAGCCTTAAAAACTGAAGAGATAGGTCTGCTTCCAACACATACTAAATATTAAATATATTTTAATTTGTGGAGCAATATAAAGAATTGTTATAGAACATGAGCTCCACTAACTAACCTTGTAACCATGTCACCTTAGTCAAGTTCCCTAATCTCTCTACCCCAGTTTCCTCAACCTATAGATGGGAATAATAATAATAATAATCATCGTAATAATAATAATAATAATAGTCATAAGAGGATTCGTAAGACTTAAATAAAGAAATGCACCTAAAGTTCTTAAATCAGTGCCTACTACTCAATAAATGTTTACTTTATGGTTGTTGTTGTCTTGGGTTAGGGTATTTGGTTGCCTTTATTCCAGGGGATTACTTCCCCAAGAGAAACTTGTTATAAACAGTGTGAGAATTTTATTACAACAGGAGAATTCCCAGGATTTGCAAGAGGAGAAATTAGTCATATATAGATCACGTTTTCTAAGCTCAAAGTTGTTACCATGAAATTTGATGTGCCAAGATAGCTAAAAATGGAACTCAATTCCCTATGAAGGAGTTCCTACCCACTTACCCACATGAGAGATAGGTGAGACAGGCACTCTTAATTTTGTTTAGAGGTGGGAGGTGTCATGTCCTGAGGATATTTTTAGGCTACTCTCTGAGGGACATTTTCATATTTCTTTCTGAAAACTGCATAAAAGCTCAATATACTGAAATAAAAATCACTTTATTCCTTTTTTATGTATTAAAAGAGTAGCAACTTCAGAATATATTATGCAAGTCATACCCAAATAGAAATGTTTGTTGTATTTTAGGCCACCACAGTTGTCCAGATACCTGAATTTTCCCTCAGTTATAAAGAGCTTAAATGATGTAGGGTAGCCCGGTTCTTGATTTCTGGGAAAATATTACCCTCTTGGTGGGCATCAATGTGTTCTTAACTCAGCCACCTTCTCTGAGATTATTGAAGAATAATAATCTTTTTGATAATTTTAGATCACAAGGTATAAACACCAAACAGAATTCTGAGCATCACATATGGCACTCCCTGACCTAATCCGACTTTTTAGAAACATATTTCATGTTGTGTGTTCATTTCTATTTGCTTCAAGAAAATAATTATTCTTCCAATAAATATTTGATGCTCATTCTGTGATGCACATTATCCTTAGTGTCCTTAGAGCTGCAAACACAGAAGAACTTTGGTGCCTATTCCCATGGCTTTTACACACCAGTGGGAGAGACAAATAATATACATGGAAAACCTCTTTGGAAAAAAAAAAACAAAGTTATTAGACAAGAGTGTGATGAGAGGAAAATAAAAAGAGTAATGTAACAGAGAATAACCAATTGGGAGAAGTGTCTACTTAAGATAAATGCTGGCATTTGAGATGAGACCTAAAGGAAGACAAGGTATCAGCCATGTGAAGAATTGAAGTGGACTTGTATTTCACACCTTATGCTGTTCTAGCTAGCCTGAAAAATTCTCCCACTATGAGTCAACTAGAAAGTCTGGGTTAAATATAATAAGCATCCTTTTAAGTACAGGACTGAGCTTAACAGTATTATTATCATCATCATCACTGTCAACATCATCTTTATCTGAGAGGCAGAAAAATGAAAGGATCTGGAAACAAAAGTGGTAAGTTAAAGCTGATTGTGCAGCTGCACTTAAAGCATTTGCCAGTTTCAGCAACCCACAAGTTCATTTTCTAAAGACTCAAGAAAACCAGGAAATGATACTGTGGACCCATGAATGGTGAAGACTTAGAACTCACACCAACCTCCGTATCTTGAAGGGTTATGTCCTCAGTATAAATATGAGCTTAGGAATAGGGTCACCTGCTAGAAAAGACATCTGATATTTAAAAACAAACAAACAAACAAACAAAAAAACCTGTCTTTCAGGGTTAGGGTCCTGGATTAAAGGGGGGAAAATCCCTTAAGAATTTTTAACCACAGCTTAACCTAATAATGCATGTTTGGAGCTCTAATTTGTACCATCTGCGTGGTCCAGGGAACCCCAAGCTGGTAAAATACCTTAAAGCAATCTCAGGGTAATAACATTATGAGTATTGGCAGAGCAAAAATAAATCTCAGGATATTGAAGCCCAAGTCTCAAAGGATCCCAACAGAGCAAGCCCCAGTAAATTTGAGCTCAGAACCTCAAATTGCAAAATGCACATGGAATCAAGGCATTGTAAGCAAGACTCAGAACAAACATCAAATGGCAGAATTAGCCCTAACGAGAATTTCTGATGTTGGAATTATTAGATACAGAATATAAAACACATATATTTTAAATGGTTGAACAAATAAGGTATACAAAACCTTATTTTATAAAAAGGAGCAAGGAACAAACTACGATCAAAATAGGATACAGTAGATTTTAAAATGAGCTGAATACTGTAATAGATGACATATATAATCATTGAAATTAAAACCCCTGGATAAAAAATAATTATTTAAAGTAAGTAAAATCATGAAATCAAAACTTCAATAGCATATCTGCAGAGAGAATTATAGTCAAAGATAAATGTGAAAGGATTTCTGTTTCCACCACAATGGACTAACTGAAGCTGAACTTGCCTTCCCCCTGTAAACAACTAGAAAAATGAGAAAATTATATGAGAAAACTGTTGTGCAACAAACATCACATTGAGAGAAGGGAAAGAAATATGATGAGCCCTATAACCTCCTTAACTTTTGCTTGGATTCCCTTTTCAGACAACAGTTCAGAGCAAACCTAAGCAGAGCTCAGAGGGCACTTGCAGTTGAGAAGTCAGACACTAGAGGGCACTAGGTAAAGAAAGAACTCCAGAAGTCTGCTGTGGGATCCACTTGCATCTGTTGCTGAACCCTGAACTATGCATATATGGGTGAAACCCCATAAAGCTGGAGACCTGTAAACTGAACAATTTCATTAAGCTCACACAGGACTGGGAGAAGTTTAATGCAAACAAGCCAGAGTAGAGAATCCATGTTAAACATATGCAACATTCAGTAGAGACCCTAAAAGGATCACACCATAGAATTAGGCTAACCTAGCCCTAAAAATAAAGGCTAATCTAAACTTGCCCCAGCAAAACTTGAAAACAAGCATTGAAAAGATCAAACTGAACTGAAATTA